AAAGTTCAGCAATGGGGCCAGCAGGTGGCGTGGTAATCGAGGGTGCTGGACTCCACATGGCCAACCACCATTTAAGTACCAGACCTAGAGGCTTACTTGCTCTTTCTCTCTCTCTCATTCTGTCCTTCTCTGATCAAATGAAAATAAAGTTAAATAAAATAATTCTTTTAAAAAATAATTCTTTAAAAAAAAAGTTCAGCAATGATGGCATTTCCATAAGAAACAATCCTTTTTTATCATTAATTTTTATTTGTATAAAGCAAAAAATTACAGAACTGTTTTGTTTTTAACAGAGAACTTTACATACTTTTGTTTGTTAAGTGTATCTTCCCTTTTCCCTTTCCGCCCACCCTCTACCACTCACTCCCCTCCTTTACAGTCTCCGGCTTGGACACGGGTTGTACTGAGCTAAGGAAAACCTAACATCTTGAGGACAATCAACTACTCCACACCCGCACAGAGGAAATGATTAACTGGCTTTAGAGCTGGAGTCTGTAGATCATTCAATGAAACCAGGCCTGAGGATAAATCGGTTGGTTTGTTAAAGAATCTGTCAGCCGGGATGCGAAGATTGATGGGTCAGGCAGAGCAGACATCAAGCAAAGTCTACACCCGATCCCAGCCCTGCTTCTCTGCAGGGGTCCCCTTGTCTCCCAGCTTCATTTCTCGAACCAGCTGGACCTAGTTTGTGTTCTCGGTTCCCCTGGTCATCACATAGCCTTTGTTTCTATTCCATTATAACAGGGCAAGACCTTCTCTTCCCTCTTAGTATTATTGAAGTGGTGCTGATTAATTAATAACTGAGAGTAACTTACTTTATTTCCTTGGGTATTTATATTTTTAACGATGCCTTAAGCTGAACAAATTATACTCTAGTGCGACATTTCAGGCTATGCTAGAAGGAAAGATTTGGGAGGGAGTAAATTTCCCAGGGCTAGTCCAAAGATCATATAAATGCAATTTATTCTATATGCCAATAACGACAGTTTCCAATCTCTTTTAAACATGTCATCTCTTCTGTCATTACCACTTATTTCCTGATGAGATTAAGAAGTTCCTAAGTTTTCTGGGGACCAAATAGAACAGAAATGTTGAGACTGGCACAAATGAGCACATACTATGCTTTAAAAGAGGCCCCAAAGACAAATGGAGGACAAGAAAATCCTTACGGGGGAAAATAATTTTAATTAAGGAAAACTCAGACATTCCATCACTTATCACGCTATCTTGCAAAGTAGAGCTAAGTTGTCATTCATAGACCTGGAGTAATTCTCTCATATGCCCAGGAAATTATTTTTTAATAACTAAGTATTAGCTTAGTAGCTACTACAGACTGGGTGATATTCAATAACTACCAGTTGTTACCTTGTGTTTTATAAGGAGCAACCTTGGCTATGTCCATTGTAAATATTTTGATTTTTACATTCATTTGTATTTTTTTTTTTTTTGGGAGAGGTTTTTGCTATAGGGTGTGTGTGCTCTCCGGACAGAGAGAGAGAGACAGAGAGAAAGAAAGCGAGAAATCAACCCCCAGGGAGGATGGCCACGCCACAATCCCTTCTCCTCTGTTCTCCTCTGGGGATCTTGGGCACGCAGGCACACGCGCCTGGTGTGAGTTTTAAGCCACCGGATCCGGGAGGGGAACTGCACTTGACTACATGGGAGTTCAGCAACCTAGCCATTATGCAAACTGCTGGTCCCCCATTCATTTTTGTCAAGTAAAACTGAGAATGTGTAAATGGACATACACGAGTAGATATTCTACTTACCTTCATGATCTATTACAAAGATTTTATATAACTAAGCATGTAAGAAGACATTACTCTCAACAGATATTCTATTAAGTTTATAATATTCCATTGCCTTTAAAAATTTATAATAGGGCATGTGCATGGACATATGTGAGAGAGAGAGAGAGAGAGATCACCGTCTGTGGTATCTGGTCACACCGTGATCTTCTTACTGCATTTCTCCAGTCTATCAGATCCTGGTCACTCATTCATGTGCCCAGGGCATTTCAGGTGGACTGATCAGGGGATGTGATCCACAGTTTGCCACATGGAATCCTCATGCTCTTTTTTTTCAATTTCAAATTTTTATTTTTATAAATGCCTCCAGATTACCAAAATCAAGAAAACCTGTGATATCTATATATAGATATATAGATAGATGTATATATTATACTTTGTTTCGGATAAAGGACAGTCACGTTTAATAACCGCTGCTTGCTTCGGCCTTGCTCCCTTGGCTCCTGAACCTGAGAAAGCGAGGATGCTGTGTAGACTCAGCATTCTGGCCTCTCCACCTTGAATCTCATACTGACGACCCCATGTATGCCGGCCTCAATCTCGTCGTTTTCTTTAACCGGCCCGACTCCCTTGGGCGTTCCGGTCAAGACGATATCCCCTTCTTCCAAGGTCATTATCTTAGAAACGTAGCTGATGATGTACGGGATGGAGAAAATCATGGAGGAGGTGTCACCCTCCTGCCTGAGCTCGCCGTTGACCTTCAGCCAAAGCTTCAGCTGGTGCGGGTCCGGGACCCTCTCCTTGGGCACAAACGCGCTGACGGGGCAGGAGCCGGTGAAGCTCTTGGCCAGCGTCCAGGGCAGCCCCTTCTTCTTGCACTCGTCCTGCACGTCTCTGGCGGTCATGTCAAGGCACAGGGCGAAG